GAGCTGCTCCAACATGCAGCCACCTTGAGCGGCGCAACTCTAGAAAACATGGAAAGGAAGAAGCAGGTAAAGATAATGGATGATTGCCCTTCTTTTTGTGACATAGCCCACTAGCCTACTTTTGACTGGGTGGCACCTGCTGCCCCGGTTTCTCTGTGCTATCAAGACGTTTTAGTTTAGGGTACGTTAAAACAAAAAAAGAGACGCCATCTGAAGAACCAGATCTCCTTTCTGGGACTCCCAACTGGTTATATATAGATGTTACAAACTAGATAAGAAGGAAAAACTCATGTTAGTCCCAGATCCTTAGTGATTTGGTTTTGTAGCTCAATAAAATGCTCCAGCTTCCTCTAAGAAAAGCAAGTGAAATGGTAACATTAACACAGGCAGATGTGTCAAACTGTGGAACAAATAAGTAGCGTTGCAACTTTATAACTTCTTCTTAAAGGAACTGTTTTTGTTTAGATCAAATAAAGAGTCGGTGCTGTAGTTTTCCTGGTCTGGAGCCAGGGGTTTGTCATTATCTGGTAAAACTGAAAGCACTGGTTCTAAGTTAGACATTAAACGATCTCTGCTGGAACAGAGACAAACCCCTGACACACGAATAAAAACGAATAAAAACCTCAGGGTGCAGAATTTATACAGGATTAATAAAATTGAAAATAACACCTACAACAAAAAGTCCACAATTAAAAAAATGTGCCGCTCCAAAGCTCTCCGTTTACCAGATCAGAGGTCCCAACATGGTGGAGCATTATTTAGATTCAGTCCCAAACGAAGTTTTATCTGAACCCAGATTGTTTTTTTTTTTAAAGTTTTAACAGAATGCTGGTTTTTAAGCTGCTTCTTTTTTCTTGCATTTACTATATGTCATATTAGTGCTGCTTTTCTAAACATCATATTTTAAATTTATATATGTATTACATTTGCCTGAGAACATTTTATTTAGGCAAATCTTGCTGAATTTTAATTGAACTGCTATTCTGAGTATTGATCAGGGACAAATATTTCAAGTTTTACAGTGAACGTGAAGACAAATAGTCAATTTAAATACATTTTAAAGCTAAGAAGGAAAAAAAAACCAGGCTTCCTTTTCTACAGAAACCTCTGTAGCTGTTCTCAGACCAGGAGACCTGTTGGACCTCCTAAAGGAGGCCACCTCACCTGGCTGCTCTCAGTGGTGGATCAGGTAGCACAGGTGTGACTGCACTTGGATAAATGAATTTTCTTACCTGATCCTAAAGTGTAAACTCACAGGCCCTGCTCAGGGAACTCGCTTCAGTCATTGATATTCATTTTCTTCTTTCAGTTAAGCAGAGCCCACAGGTCAGGGTGGAGATGCAGAAACTGGAAACTCACAGCTCTGGCTCAGCTGTCTTTACATTTAAAAAGCTAAAAAAGAGCACACTAACAGTGTCATATGATGCTGTTTTGTCAAAAGTGTATTTTGTAAGGATTAAAGAAGAAAGTTGAGGCTATAAGAAGTTTTTATATTATTTTACAAACGTGGTCATTAAAAATAGCTTAACGTTAGTTTTACCTAATGAAACCACCAAAGTTTTAACATTTCACCAGGAACACGTCACTTAACTGATACATATTTTTGCTCATAAATGTCCCCTTTAAAAATATGTGCTTTAGGTGATTTAACAGGAAGCACGAGATAAAAAATGAAATTTTTTACATATAAATTTAGCAAATATTCTTTAAGAATTAACAACTTAGTTATTAAGTTAAGTTAATAACTTAATTTTGAGCCATTACTGAAACCACCTAAATCAGAAGAATCATCCTCTGGGCATAATGTCAGTTTCTTAGTTAGGACAGACTGTGACAAGTATTATTTTAATTAAAGGGTATGGAGTAAAGATGTTCATTTTAAAGCACATAAACTTACCAAAAGACAAATGAGTTTGTTATTATTGGTTCCGAATTGGCTTTTATAACCAGCAGCAATCGATCAAACAGTAAAGCAATAGATGGTGATACATTCATTCATTATACTCAGTATATTATTATACACTACAGTACATTATTATATACTAAAGTACATTATTATAGTCAGTATATTAATTCATTCATACCCATCTACACACTACAGACTCATGTTTGGGCTGCTGTTTAATATACTGTATTATTTTAAATTCTTAGTGTGTAGCATATGTCTTGAATCTTTTAGCATACTGTTTGGCCTTTGTTTAGTGTATACTAATATATATATATATAGTTTCTTTTTATACTTTATATTTTTGCTATTTTTTGGTGTAACTGGGACCTTGAGTGCATAATTTTGTTCCACCTCATGCACCATATGTGATGCGAATGACACTAAAGAACCTTGAACCTTGAAGTTATCAAGACTATGACTGTGGTGGACTCTAGTGCTGAGTGGCTCATTATAGAGAAACAAGAAACATGAGTAGAGCAAGATGAGAGGAAATCTGTGCTGCTGAAATCGAACTTATAATGTATTTATGTTTAACACATGGCAGGTTTTTAGCAGCATGGTTAAACTGGCAGTCTGATTTCTCAGACCCTGCTCCTAACTCCTCCTAGCCTTCATCAACCCATCCCCCCACCTCTTAACCTTTGCAAGCTACAATTGCGCAATCATTTTTACAGGTAACTTCTGCAGAGCTCCCACCAGCAAGCATCAAAACAACGGTGAAGACACGATCAGTGTGCCTCAGGGGTACAACGCAGACTGACAGCTGCAGTCTGGATTCACTGCGCAGCTGAACTCTGCACCAGCAGATCTAACTGAATACAGTTTCTTTACATTTTGACTGGATATCCAATTAATCAGTCCACAGCGGCTCAGTGGTCAGGTTTTTACAGTCAGACGTCATCAACAGAAACAGCCAGCGCGCTAAATAGGCCACAGGATGGTATGTGACCCACAAGATGGCTCAGTGGCCCATTTTTGTTTCCCAACCATGTGAAACTCTGCCCGCTGAGGTGGAAACACAGCCCTCTCCAACAGAGGGAAAGGAACCCAAGCCTCCGGTGTCAGTAACAAGGTGAGGTTTAAAGAGATCGGACACAAAATGGCACATGCACAACAAAACAGCCCGCACCCATCGTGAAGTAAACGACTGGATGATTGCTGGGAAAACATAGGCTATGTACACCGTGCAGCAATCTCTGTGCAGCAAAGATTATAACCAGCAGGAGCCAAGTTTACATCAGTGTGGAGCATTTGTCAAGCAAAAAATTTTAAATAATATTTATTATTTCGAAATGATGTCAAGATAACTACCATATTTTTCACCATTTAAGTTGCACCTTTTTGCGTAAATTAGCTGCGACTTATACAGCAAAGCGACTTATTTGTGTTTTTTTTCCACTTTATTAGACATATTTGGACTGATGTGACTTATAGGGCGGTGCGGCGTGTATGGAGGCAAGTACAGTAAATCGTTTAGTCTAAATAAGGAAAAAAAGGAATACTAAAATGTATTTATTTGTTTGTTTATTTATTCTCTTTTCTCAAAAATGATCATTCCACCTTGAATGTGTCTGAAGAAAAGCCTCTCCATTGACGCCACTTGTGAAAACAAGATAAAGCCCACAGCCCGAGTTATCTCCAGTGCCAACGTGAGGCCGAGAACAATGTGTGTTAAACTGAGCATGAATGGAGCTTTTGATTGGGGGGGGGGGGGGCTTTTTGTTACCCTCTCCCGAGCCCCATCTTTAGCTTGTTTCAGCACAACCTGGAAAAAAAAGGGGAGTTTCTAATTCACCATTAACACCACTTAACATAAAACCAGTCCTTTTTGTATCCTTATGCAGACTAAATCACTTCAAAAGATTTGAACTATCACTTTAAATACAAGCATCATTTGCAGCAGGTATATTAAAACTGATAGAAATGTGAAAAATATATTAAAATCGACGCCTCGTGTAGTCAGCAGGAGGCTTAAAGACAGGACAGTCAAAGAAATCCGTCTCCAAAACCAAAACTCTGTTGGCTTTGATGTCTCACCTGACCCAAAGCACACAAAGAATTACGCAGTTTAAATAAGAGCCTTTAAAAGGGATTTCACTTGAGAATCTGCTAGGCCTTAAGTATTAAGCACAACACAAGCGAGCGGTGAAAAGATTAGCCAGCATGCACGAGGGACTGCGCCTCGCTTGCTGCATCTAAACATCCAAAGAGACACAACAAAACTCCTACACTGAAAAAAAATCAAGAAGTTTTAAAAACTCGGGCACGTTTCTCACCAGTAGAAAATGTTACCCAGACTGAAAAAAGAGCAGATTTGGAAAGATCTATTTTCAGCTGTGGATTACTTTGTTAATCTCAAGATTTAGAGAAGCAGCAGAACACGACTGCAATTGATTTATAACCAACTATAACGCGTCAAATTACAACTATAATTTGCGTTTTCACGTTCAGCGTCTCACGTTATGTTCCGTTCAATCCCATTTCAAGCGTTCAGTCACAGCCTGCACCTGATTTTGGCTTGACTTGCGTTAATCCAAGCAGCCAACTAAGACCACAGATTTAAATTTAGATCTGTGTTATAAGTAAGATAATCCTATTAATCTGAAAATCGGGGAAACAGTTCAAATGGCAGCTGCTTTTAAAAAGATGAAGCATCTCTTAGTTTTTTTTTTTTGCTCCATTATCTAAAAAAAAAAAAACCACCGGAGGTTCTCACTCATCGTCGACACACCTGGGTAAGAAGGTACAGTAAATCATCCTAATGTTCATGGGTTCCCACAGGCTGTCAGGAGGAATAAACGTAACAAAAAGCCACTGCAGTAAAGCAGATTTAGGACAGTATAAAAGATTAGAAAGCAGCGAGCAGGCAGCTTAATAAAGTAAAGGCACACTGACATTAGTCTAAAAGGATTCCTTCGATTTCATCCATGCATGCAACGTTCAGTTGCCATGCCAACCCGCTACTCGTCTCCCGCAGCCATGATGGAAACAGAAAATGCTGCTTGGCTACACTGAACAGAAAATCAAGAAACGGCAAAAACAGGCAACTCACCGAGACGTCGAAAAGCTCCTCGGAGTCGTCCAACATGCGCACCCTGACGGTGACGCGTCGTCCAGGCGGCATGGCTGGAGGCCTGTGCGTGGGGTCCAGCGTACTGATGCCAAGAGTCTCCGGGGCTCCGAGCCGCTGACCAGCTACAGAGGAAGTTGGCTCTTGGTCTGGCTCCGCCATGGTTCGCTGCTCCGTTCACCACTGAGCCGGAACTGAATTCATGACACAAAAGAGAAGACGTGAGTTTGAAAGTTGTCATTAAACCAGCTGTTGTTCACAAATTAGTGGCGCAGGTTTAAAGAAAAACACAAAGATGTCCAGAAAACAGGCTGCACAAGCCTCCTGGTCGCTAACACAGTAAATGCTGTTTTTGCACTCTGCACTAATGGCTGCTAATTGTTGCCAGTGGGAGACTCAATTACCGAGGATGACATATCGTAGCGCGTTCTTGATTTCAAAGCCCACATCAAGCTCAATTTATCTCGACACACTGATCACGAGACTGGAGTGAACTCAAAGCGTTACTGTCGTTCATCAGTTCATTCATAACAACGTGAAAGCAAAGCGAGGCCGAAGGCACAGAGAGACACGATGGTGCGCTGGAGGCTTCATGGGTCTGAAAGACGGCGAGTCAGACATTTAAAGTTCCTGCAGGAGGTTTGAACTGAATAAAAAAAAGAAAAAGAGTAAACCTGTGAATCTGGAGTTTTCTTTGAAGAAAAGGTAGAAATATAATCCTTTTTTATTTTAAATGTGTGTGCAGATTAACAGAAAAGAACACAAGATTAGAAAAGTAAAGGAGTTTGAGGAGAAAAAGGTTAAAGGGGCAGTTCGGATCTTTTAAAGTGCAGCTATGTGGAAAGGTTATAAATAAATAATATCTTACCTGTTCAAGATAGCTCTATGGAGGACATCAGTTTGGAAGAAACTGTTTGGTTCTGAGTGAACTGAGGAGCTAACAGCTAGCCTGAGTAACTCGAATCCCAAAAACTTTCAAGTGCTTTTACTTTTCATGTAAGTATCGTACTTTCCAGCTGGAAGTTCCCGAGGCCGGACCAGATGTGCTACAGCTAGCTGCGTTTTCAAACCATACTAAAATCCTATACGTAAATAACTGCGTAATGTGAATTCACCGGCAATGTTAAGGTTTATAAAGTGAGTCTGCATAAATCGCTACGAAATTTTAGAGAGCCAAACTTGTTTTTCTTATTTAAAAAGTCATCTAAGACAAGTAAGATACTAACTATTAATGATCTTTCCACTGAGCCCCACTTAAAAAAAATGAACACATTATCCGATAAGAAGCATTCAAATCAGAGCTTAATGAGCTCTTTAGGGGTTATGAGAACAGAAGTTAGAAGAAAGTTACGTAACTTTATGAATCTTTTATCAAGTGGAAATTTTGCAACTCAAACGGGATTAGTGTTAAATAAACAGTTGTAGATGAGTCCAAACCACATTATAACTCAATTAGCTTTTTGCTTGTTCATAATTAGCTTGGATGCATTTTATGAGAACGATGGGTTCCAGATGTTCCTTGCAGATGACACTGCGATCGGTGGTGAGAACAGGGAACAGGTGGAAGAGAACTTGAAGAGGCGGAGGTATGCACTTGAAAGAAGAAGAAGAGGCGTTCCAGATGTTCTAACGTTTAACCCATTATTGTACTGTTACATTATCAGGACTAATTAATGAGTCATGTTTGAAAGTACTCTAAAGTAGGTGTAAATAAATTTAAAAAAAAGTCTTTAAACTTTGCAGCTTCTATCAAATTGTTCTAAAAGCCCAACAACTTGGTGAAAACCCACCCAACTCTGCTCCTATCACATTTAAAGTAAAAACAGCATCATCACTGATTAATTCTGAATGTCCTAAAGATGTGACTGTGTTTTGACAAAGTCTGAGCACTCATTTCTCCAGGGGAGACATATGAGTCGACCATTATCAGCATATAACCATTTACGCAGAGCCAGACCCCCTCAAGGCCCGCGGTTATCCATCCATCAAACATTCCAGCACCCTGATGTCATCCTGAGACCTCACCAAATGGTTCAAAGCAGCGGGCTGTCGTTCAGCCGCCGCCGCCGCAGAGTGACTGACTGCTGCCAAGTTTGAGCCGAGTGCTGAATCAGGCATTTCAGACCAGTGGATAATGTAATCATGGAGCGTGTGGAACTGAACTGGTCAAGGGTAATGCCCAACTTTGCTCTGCCTGATGCTTAAAACAGACGGAGAAAGTTTCCAGTCAAACACCGCCAGCCGTAGTTGTGAGACGAGAGTACAATTTACTGTTAAATGTGTTCTTTGTGAACCATCACAAACAAAAACGGACACTTTTGCTGCAAGTAAAGGAGCACGGGCCACTTCACTTATTTATGGTTAAACCAGTTCACAAAGCAATGCATTATTTTAGCACCTGTTTTACTGTCATCACTGACCAGCATGTGCAAATATTAGTGGCTTTGTATGACATTGGATCCTTAGCCCATCATAGTACCTACTGTCCTGATTACTGTATCCTGTTGAGTCTGTAAATTCCTGTCTTGTGTGACCTGCACATGCATGGCATGTAACCGGACACTGTTCAAACAAAGCAGGAGTGAAACAGAGGCCAGTGTAAGAGTAGACAGTGATTATTTCAGCCAACACATGCCCCCCTCCTCCTCCTCCTCCTGCACCAAGGATCATGAATCAAGCAGTCATGTGTGGTGCGCTGCTCTGAACCGCCAGCTTGGGTCCAAACAAACCAACAGAGCAGGCATCAGCCGTGCACACCCCGCTCCCAGAGCCAGATGGTGACCCCCCGGGCGTCGTCTACACACTCCTGAGCGAAACCCACCCCGGTCTTTGAACTAGAAATTCCCCACGTATGTGCGATGGGGAACTGCAACTGCGGGCTTGAGCTTCAATCTAACAGTGGCTCCTCTGTGTGCAGGCAGGGGCCCCCCTGGTGAAGTCCAGCACTCTGCACAGCTGGAAACCTTTAGTGACAGCTGAACGGCCTGAGGCAGCTGTCTACCTGAGAGAGGCTGTGTGCAGCAAACAGAAGGCTCAGATTCCTCTGTGTTCGGATACCTATTGCAGGGTGTGGCTGGTTCTGCTGAAATTCTCTGGATTAATAGCAGTGTGGCACGTGTTTATAAGTGAAAGGAAGACCAGCCGTGCAGGATGTAGTCCTTAAACATAAGCTGCCTGAAAGAAATGAGTGCAAGGAAAAGGATAAATCCTTAACCTCACATGTCTTGAATGTAATGTGGGTTATCAGAGCAGTAATCACTGGATGTGGCATTCATAAAGTGCTTGGACTCATGTGCACATCTGGATACTACACATACAGACACTTCCTGTGGAGCTTCTGATCATGTAAATGCCACAGAGATCCATAAAAAAATTTTTTTTAATCTGATCCCAGCAACGAAACCTGAGCTGCTGCGGAATATTTAATGCAACCCACGCTGAGTGCATGTGAAGGGTTTCACGCAGCGAGGGTTTCCAAAGAAATCCACAGGGTCACGCACAAACACGCAGGGTAAATACTCCCAGGATTTAGCCTTAATCCCCTCAAACAAGTTCAACCACTTCCCTCATAAGAGCCCACTGACTGCGTGGGAGGACTCGCTTACCCCCTCTCCGCTCGCGTAAAATGCGGGTTTAATCCACGGCAAAGTGAGTGGAGAGTCCTTCCTTACATCCACGTCCAGTGAGGGGAATAAATGAAAGCGCGCGGAGTCTCACGCGGACACGAGGCGTCCTGCGGTCGCCATGGCGGACGACTGAGCGTGCGAGCGGCGGGGGAGATGGGATTATTACACGGAACCGAGCCGAGGAGCTGCTCCCGTTGGTCCACTCAGACAATGAAGGAGGTGCAGCGGCACCTCCACCTTCTCTCGGAAGCCGCGGGAGTTCAGCGGAGCAACAGCACCACCCAGCGGCCGCGGCTGGAACTACGGAAATCACAGGAGCGACGTCTTTTTAAAAAAAAAAACGCCTCGAGGAAAAGGAAAGCAGATATTATTATTATTATTATTATTATTATTATTATTAGCAGTGGTGGAGAAAGTACTCAAACACTGTACTTAAGTAAAAGTACAAATAAACAGACACAAATTTACTCTAGTAAAAGTAGAAGTACCACATTAACATTTTTACTTAAGTAAAAGTAAGTAAGTACTTGCTTTTAAAAATACTTAAAGTATTAAAAGTAAAAGTACTTGCTGAATGGACTACAATATCTAAGTATGCCTGTATGTATTGTTTCTGTACTACATTAATAGTGTTGTGTGTTGTTGCTGCAGATAATACATGTTTTTATTGTGTTTACTCTGTGACACTGTTCACACTTGGACTTGTGATTCTGTGCGTCAGGATTTCAGGGATGACCTGCAGAGTTAGATGCCACTAAGCAAAATAGGAAAGAGGAAACTAACGGACAAATAATAAAAAATAAAAAAATGCAACGTGAATCTAACGTGTAACACAACGCATTATAGAAATGCAGTGTAGTAGAAAGTACAGATACATAATGTAAAATGGAGTAAAAGTTGAAAGTACCCACATTTAACTCCACTTAAGTAAAGTACAGATACATGAAAAATGTACTTAAGTACAGTAACAAAGTACTTGTATTCAGTTCCATCCCACCACTGGATATTAGGAAGTCTTACCAAAGAATTACATTTTACATTTGCACTGTTGAGAGCTTCTGACCTATCATTGTTTCAAATTCAACTTAACCACAGGTATATAATTGTAGCAATAAGGAAGATGGAGGAAGAAGGGTGACACTTTCTCCACTCCCCTCCACTACATTTATTTTATGTATTTAGCTCTTGTTAAAGTGTGGCACCAGCTGGTCAGTTTACTGACCAACAACAACTTCATTAATATATTCACCCTTTAATGATCAGAATCAGTCACTGGGGTAGAATCTGTTAATCACAGGGAGTTCTACACCAGAACAAATGAATATTCATCTGAATGAAGAGGCCAAAGTTGTCTTTGAAGTTTTATTACAAAAATATTCAAACTAAGAATCAACAACAATAATAAACAAACAATAATAATTCAATCAAAGAGTGATTAATCTCTTATCTAAGGCTAAATTGACTCTGAGCAGGAATTATTTCGGTTTCTATACACGCATGAATTTAGACAAAGTTTGACTATTTTAACAGCTTACTTTG